TTTAAAAAATCTGATTTAAATTTAAAAAATCATTTTTTAAAATTTTTATTAAAAAAATCAAAAAAATCACCAACCCTGGCTGATATCAACACGCGGCCTCACATATAGTAAGGATAATTATTTGTTTGTTGTGATGTCTGTGTGTCAAATCATGTTATAGGAGGTTGCTGATGAAAAGTCTCTGGAGCTGGGGTGCTTCGACTTTGAAAATGCTGTAAAAAGCAAGGGCCTATGCATATTGTTTATTGTTAATGTAGCATGGTATGCTGATTATTCTTTCATTGAAGATTTGCGAAACGATAGTGCATGTAACTGGTAAGCAAGTGTGTCTGTGATGCATGTTGATTTTCCATAACTTTGTTTCATTTTCTTAAAAGGTACTCTGGCCAGTTTGAAGTGATGGGAATTATTTATTGTAAATTATGAACAAGATTCCAGCTTTTCATTCTAGTGTTAAAATTTGTTTTAAAAAGCATATTGTATGTAAACTTCAGCGGAGTGTTTTGTAGCTAAAGATGTGCCTGACCACTGAACTGGAGACAGAATTGGAGAGCAATCAATCGAAGTCTAAGCTTCTCTCAAATTTTCCAACAACTGTATTAGCTTGATGATATTAGGCGAATAATTAGGTCATTTGATCTCTTAATTTTTTGTTCAGTTTTGCAGAAAGGAAAACTTTTGGATGTGTACAAATTTTTGTTATTTTTCATTCCATATTTGTTTCGTCTGTGTCAAATTCATTTGTTATTGTTAATGATGTTGTATAAGAAACATACTCTACCTCGTAGTTTTAAAATGTTTATAACGTGAACGGTTTTGTTTGTCTGAATAATTATTGACATCATGATGTTTACTTTATGACTTGTGGTATTTATTTATATTTTACAGCACAAAAGAATTCAAAAGAAAAATAATTAAGAAAACTGGACATAATATTTTTTATTTTCATAATGAATTTTGATGGACAAGTTTGTCTCTGAAAGGTTTGCTCATATTTTATATACATATGTTGTATCTCTGTGACCCTTTTTGTTCTCATTTGTATAACTAAGGAAGGGGAACCTATTTGGCACCCTGTGTTTGTATTCAATTATTTTTTTATCAATGAGATAGACTGATGCGCAGCTCTGTAGTACAGGCATCATTTGCACAACTGAAAATCTGAAAGGATGTCATGTATTTCAGGTGGGGCTCTCACCACTGGCCTTATCGCATCAGCAAGTTGAGAAGTGTTCTGTCCTGAGTTGATGGTGTGAGAGATGAGCTGCTGGCAGTCTGATGAGCCGAGAATGTCAGATGACATGGACAGTGTGCACGCCCCCAGTCTGTTGTTCTCCTTGTCAGCGAACTGGTTTCTGCTGTTGTCAGTGAAGGAAGAGCTGGAACTGTTCGTTGATTCTAAGGAACTGTAGGTGGAGGAAAAAAAAGTTGTGTGTGTGAGCTGCCCTGAAATTCATGACCTTCCATCAGGTCTTAGGTTGGAGCTGTACCATGCTGATCTGTTTTTTGCTTTTTAAAAAAAGTTGTTCACTGAAACCGGAAGATTAAACATCATTGTGCCTTTTATGTAGGTCTTTAAACACTGTCCATACCTCGAGTAACTTGAAAAACGTGTGGTGACAAGGTATGGTCTTGAATGCATGATCTTTCTGATCAGTTATGTTCTTAAAATTGTAATGAATCCCTATGATAGTCAGAAAAAGCTGACCATGGAAGGGGCAATGCCAGGCGCTGCTTCCACCTCAGTTCCTTCCTTCTATATGCATTCCATTCCTTACACGGCTCCCGTGTTTCCAGCTGCACCCATGGCCCCGAACCCCTATGGCTTTTCTTTGGATGGTTCTTCATATCCACACCAAACTGTCCACTGCTCACCTCTCAATGTGCCTAAAATGAACAGTGGAAATACCTTAGCCGATATTCGACACTTGAATATGACGGTTGCCAAGCCCAGTCCAGCGCCCCCCATAGACCCTGCCAGCATAGCTTCTAACTGTGTCAGTGCTGGGAACATCCTCCCTAGTCATGTTGAGATGGGAAGAACTTCCTTGGATGATGTTCTCAACACGGCTTCTGGTTTCAGCAATGATGGCCCTCTTGCCGCATCATTACTGGCAGGAAAATGTGCATATTCTGAGAGTCAGTCTTCAGGCGTAATTGCTGGTTCCCGATTTAACCACCAGGTGCAACCAGAAAGCCAAGGACTACAGCCTAGGGCTGGTTTAGTTAGTTATGGTGGTGATGAGTGCCTTAAGGTGGAAAAAGAAGATAATATAGAGTGCAGGGTGACTTCACCTCCTTCACCAGTACAGGTTGTCAGTGAAAAGAATTCAAGAACTGTGAATGCAGACATTTACAAATGTGGTATTTGTGGTGAATCTTTCTGCAACAATGACCACTTATGCAGTCACCTGGCTTCTCATACGAGTTCTATGCCTTATCAGTGCGGTCTGTGTGGTATTGCCTTTTTCGAAGGTAGCCTCCTCACTAAACATGTGCAGGAATTCCATTCTCCAAAGGATCCGTATCAGTGTGGTATCTGCTCCGCTACATTCTCGGCCAATACAGATTATTGTGAGCACATGAAGGCTTGCAGTGATATTTACAATGGCAGTGCCAAGGAAAAAGTGGAAAAGCTGATGATAAAAAATTTAAGTACCACAGATTTTGCAGCTGATGATGACCCTGGGGACTCGTCCGAGCCAGAACGTGAGCACTATGATGAGTCAGGAAATTATTCAAAGTCAATAGTAGACGAGCTAGGTGGACAGAGAGAAGCGTCGTCCACTATTCTCGTGGGAGCATCCGGTGAGTTTAGCATGAGGAAAAAACGCACGAAGATCGTTATGGAAGATGTGGATCTCAGCTCTGTGTGCACGGTTATTGTGGAGCCATCCAGTGCGGGAGGGGAGAGAAAGAAGCATGTGTACAAATGCAAGTTTTGTGATAAGCTATGCAAGGATCGAGGACAAATTGTGAGCCATGTGCGCGTGCACACAAAAGTGCGACCGTATGAGTGCAGTGTCTGTTTTATGAAGTTCAAGCAGTATGGGCATCTCAGGGACCACATGATGCGCCACACAAAGGAAAGGCCCTACGTGTGTGACCGATGTGCCAAGTCGTTTCCCCGAAGCTCGCATTTATCAGAGCACATCCGCCTGCGGCATACAGAGGACAGGTTGTACCATTGCCCTGAGTGCAGCGAGACTTTTCAGAAGAGGAAAGACTTCTCCAAGCATAAACGTTCCCATGGCCGAAAGCCAAAATACCAATGCAACATTTGCTCCAAAAAGTTTTTCAATGTGACCGACTATGAACGCCATTGCCGAAGTCACACAAAGGAGAAGCAGTTTGAGTGTGAGGTGTGTCACATGACTTTTGGACTCCTGGCCAATGCCAAGAAACACATGAAGGTCCACAGTCAACACAAGCCTCACAAGTGTCCTGTATGTGGAAAGGCTTTTCATTTCTCTAATGATCTGAAGCGCCATGAGGCCACGCACCTAAAAAAGAAACCTTTCCCATGTTCTGATTGTTATAAGTCCTTCAAAACCGAAGCATTACTTAAAGCTCATTCCAAAATTCATGTTAAAGAAGATGCAAATAATACAGAGAGACCATTCCAGTGTAAGACATGCAAGAAATGTTTCAAATTAAAGTGGGATTTGGCTAGACATGAGAAAACTCACTTGAAAAAGAAGCCTTTCCCTTGTCCAGATTGTTACAAATCCTTTGGCAGTGAGGCAATGCTGAAGAAACACAGCAGAATGCATGTTGGGGTGAATGTCAAAGTTGGGAATGAGGATGAAAACTTCCATTGTAAGAATAACTTTGAAGAAGATGAGGTCAGTGATGATGGAAAGGAAGAAGAAAGTTCATGAATTGGCCAAGTCCAAGTGGTTACCGGCCACTTTTGAACCTATGTGTTTATGCAAGACACACTGTCTTCATTGCTTGGATTGTGCAAGGTCTCATACCAATTTTTTTAATGATTCTGAGTAGGATGTGATGAAGGGTGCCTTTCAGAAGCTGAGAAGATGAATGAATTCAGCATTTTTTTAAAAGGATAATTAAATTATGCTTTCCCAAGATTCTTTTGCTTTTACCTTCAAAGAGAAAATAGTCTAAATCCAAAAGAGTTATGTAAGTTAAGTTACTGATTAACGTCTTGAAAGGCCTGAAAATATTATGGAAAGTTTTGTTTCTTTGTTCATCTTTTCATTCTGTATGTGTGTTAGTGTTAGAGTGGTCTTGATGTGCTGGCTTGAGCGAAATAGTCTTTCATATATACTGTGTCTGAGCAGTCCTTGAGTTCAATATATAGATAAGTGTATGAATATGAATGTATAGTGTTTTTCCGTATGAATGTATATATTTCTATACAGTCGAACTTGTCTTAACGGAATCTCCCCGCTCCCCCCTAGATATATTCTTCTTTTTAATTACCTTTATAAAACGGTAACCTGTCCAACACGGACACGGAAAGAAAAATTCGCTCCCTTCCGAGGAATCACCTGTCTAAGATGGAAAATGCTTTGCCTGCTCAGCCCTGATTTGAAACAAAACTCGCTAGTTTGGTTCCGACGGCTCTAAACCTAACGCCATGGCCATGCCGCTGGACAAGGAAGGGGAGTAGGGGTGCAATTTGGAGGAAGATGTTACCCCATCATGTGAGCCCTGAGCGATGCAGATGGTCAGGGTAGTGTGGATGTGAAATCTCACAACTGCCCGTGACAGTGCTTGGGTAGTGAGCCACTACGGAAACTTTCCTGGGTAGCCAGAAGCCAAAGGTGTGAAATTAGATTGACCAATGCCTGCCGCGTTGATCGTATGGCCAGCCAAGAAAAGAGTTCCTCAAATCGTTGTTACAATGATGGCAGTGAGGGTGACATTGGTGGGTGGGGCTAAGGGTGGAACCAAGGAGATGTTCAAACATTTCTGTTTTTAATAGGTCAAACAGTGGTCCTATGAAAGGCAAGCACTGGTGGTAATTTGATAAGTAAGACTGACACATGACCTTATTAGACAGGATAGCTATTGAGAAGTGTGAAGTTTTGACCACTACTTGTCGATCGGACAAGCTACCCTTGATCCCACCGGCTGGGCCTTTGACACCCCCTCCTTTCCATCTCCCCCTAAATTCCCCTGTCTAAGACGCAATTTTTTTCTGGTTCCCTTGCGATTCCGTCTTACACAGGTTCGACTGTATATAATATATGTGTGTGTGTGTGCGCGCAATGTACAATCAAAATCGAAACTCGCACAAGTAGCAACTAATGCAAAACAGCTGTCAGTCTACAATATTCCAGTTATGCCAAGAATGTTCCGGTCAGTTGTTTTTTTTTAATGCTTAATGTTTTCTGGGGAGAGAAATATTATTGGTTACCTTATCTTTTTATCTCTCTTTTTGTCACGTTTCATCCATTGTTCACTTATTTTGCATCATAAGTTTATAAGGAAGCTTCCTGTCTGAATGATTCCCATACTTTTGAAATTTTAGTGTTGCAGTTGCTTGCTGCCTTTAAAAAAAACAACCCATGCCCATGCCATTACAGCATGTATCAAATGTCCCACCTTTCATGGTTGATAATTGAAAAGCAAGGTCTGGGAGGTGTTAATTGTATTTATTGTTGCTTTGTCCTTTTTTTAAAAGTCATTTCGGTGTTTTGATGTCTCTTTGGGTCAAGTATCCTTAGACTAGTAGACCTAAGCATCTTTTACCTTTCCTCTTTTGCTGTCTGCTTTTTCCACCTCTTTAACTGGTTCCGGGTAGATCAAGCAAGTACATGTGTAGCAGCCTACATGATGGTACTTGACACTGATGACTACCTTGTCCCTCTTTTTTTTTGTTGACTCCTTCAGTTGGCTAATGTGAAACTCACATCAATCAGGGAGGTATACATTCATTTTCTCCTTTCCACTCGTCCTCTCTGTATCTCTGTTGTCTCGCCATGTCCAAGCAAGGGGATCTTGTAGTCTTGCATCTCTGCTGTTACCTGGGCTGCCTTACTACCTCATTTATTGTTTTTACCGTACGTTCCATGTCTTTATATTTATATGTACCTCGTCAGTGTTGTACTGACTGAGAAGGGGGGAAAGTTGGGTCTTGTAGCTCCTGGTTTCCGACTTTGACTACAAGATGCCACGAGTTCTTTTGATGGAGAAACCATCTCCTTTGGACTATTAGAAGTGAAGATGCAGATTTTGTCTTTCGGGTTATCCTTTCCTGTGATTTTTTAGCCATCCAGTACATATAACTACCGGACCCAATAAATTTTCATTGGTGTTGCGCAACCTTGTTTTGTAGTTAGGTAGATTTTTTTAAAAAAATTTTATGCATTTTGGTTGTGGCACAAAAACACTACTTGAAAAATTATCTCAGATTGGCTGAAAATTTAACCAAAAAATCGTCCATGACTTATGGACTAATAAAGATATCTAGATTATTTAAAATGCATACATAATGATCATGAAGCCTGGAGCTTTCAAAAGTATTTTAAAGCATATCACAATAATATCAAAGAACTGAATTTTTCAGTAAACTGCCTATTCGGAAAGACTGCTTCCATCAACAAATTGTTGCCCCCAGGGCTGTTTATTCCACTTAATGTTTTGTCGTTTTCACGTCTGTTGCTGTAGTTTTTTCTCAGGTTTGTTTTTACCCCAAGCCTGACTTCCTAAATAATATTATCCTGGCTTTTGAATGGCTGACAGTCTCTCATTCTCAATAATCTCAAGGACAACTACAGACACAGTTCTTCTTCTACTTTAATAAATCTGTTGTTTCTTCCCCAACTCTTGCACTAAATTTTTGGTGTAAAAAAGGAAAGATTTTAAGTGAAAATTGGTTCTTGTTTGTTGAACTGGAGGTTTTTTTCTTTTGTTTTGGGTTTTTCTTTCAGAGGGGAAATGAATTTACCACCCCTTAGTGTGATATAATGGTGACTTACTATATGGAGAATAAGAAATTATGATTTCGGCAGAGCATGTACTGCCTTTTTATGACCGTATTTTGATGGATCATGAAAAGTGAATGTTATTCAAGTCAGTACGGTACTGTTTTGACTGGTTTGAATTTTGAGATATTTTATCAAATGAATTTACATAATGTTGTATGTACTGGTCTTCTCTTCTTTTATTAGTAAACGTACTGAAATGGTTTTACAGTGTACATAATGTCCTTATCTCTGTTATTTTTATACCCAATCATTCAAAACACAATGTGCTGTTTCGAGTTGATGATGAATAAACCAATTTTTATTGTGCATTTTGATTCCATTATTGTAAAAATGAGTCACTGTACTGCCATAGCCACATTCATCACCTCTCTGTATATTTGTCACTGTACTGTCTTTGCTTCATCACCTCTGTCACTGTATGGTACTGTCTTTGCTTCATCACCTGTCTCTGTCATTGTACTGTCTTTGCCTCATAACCTCTCTGTATATCTGTATCTGTCAGTGTACTGTCTTTGCCTCATCACCTCTATGTATCTGTCACTGTACTGTCTTTGCCTCATCACCTCTCTGTATCTGTCACTGTACTGTCTTTGTCTCATCACCACTCTGGAGTATATTTCAAATCACTGTTCCGTACTGTGCAGCCTGACTATAACAACCGTCGATATAAAAATGACATTCTCTGTATAGCGACATGGTACCCAGGTCCTGACTTTTTCCATAATATATTATATCATTAGTAACTTTTGGTTGCCTCTCATAACATTTTTTTCTGGTCCAGAGGATGTCGTTATAGAGAGGCTGCACTAGATCTGTACGTTCTTTACCTCCTCACTGCTCTGTGGTGTGTTTATATACTTTCTTTGCTTCATCACCACCCTGTGGTATGTATCATCAATCATTGACATTGTACTGTCTTAGTTTCATCACCTCTCTCTGTGCTGTGTATGTATCATCAATCATTGTACTGTCTTTGCCTCAAACCTCTCTGTTTCTCTGCACAAAGCAAGGACTCGGCACGCTATGCACCTTATCGTAAACCTCACTGATAAATTTCAGTAATGTTACTGGTATTACATTTCAGCACTTTTGTTGCTGGATATCTGGCCTACTCAGGTTTCCCACCCACCGATAAGTCATACATTTTTTTCTCCTTGGGGAACCCACCCTACTGCTTGCACTTCTCCTTTTTTTGTTTTGTTTTAGCAAGCATTTTACAGCACTTGCAACACAATCTGGTCATTTAAGTGCCGAAGATAAGAGATGTTACAAGAGCATGACAAACAAAAAAAGGAGGGGAGATAAGACTAGAGCGATAGATGTTTCATAGAAATAATAGGAAAGAAGGAGGAAACCACACCATGACACCAGCCATTGGCCTGCCAACCACCCGCTTCACCTTATTTCCCCTCCATAAGGACAGAAAGTTGGAGTATAAATAGTATGATTTTGTCAGGCCACACATTGTGCTTGAAAATGAAATACAGTCAGGCACAGATTATACGAACAAGAAAAACTCGAAATCATGGACAGCTCGCACAATTTGCCATTCCGGACTGATATCTCTTTAATTTTATGTTATCAGTTAACCTGTATTATTATGAATGTGTTGAACACATTTGTCAATCCCTGACGTGCTTTGAGTTATCCGCGCCTGACTATCTTTCCGGCATGCCATTTGCCAGTCAATGTTGGACACCTCACAAATTGACAATATCTTGTAAGAACATACCGGAACATGGTGCTTGTGTGGTGTTCATCTTTCAGTTTTATTTACAGGTTCAAGGACTGTACATACAGCACAAGAATAAATAACACAACTTTACATCTTCTTACATGAATCATTGGACATCACACACAAACCTTTTCACACAAAATGTTCATGGTCCATAATTATCAAACAGACACCTCATACTCATACAATATTTTCAATCAACAAATGTCTGCAGAATATCCCACATCTCAGGATCAGCTACCTTTGTCGATATCCATTTTAAGTGAATGGCGCTTTAGTCAGTGTCAGAAAAAAACTACACAAGTATTTGTGCGTGTGTGTGCGTGTGTGTGTGTGTGTGTGTGGGGGGGGGTTTGTAAAATATCATGCCTCTAAACTAAAACTGAATCAACTTGAAGCTTGATTTATATAATCAAATAAACAGCAGGCATCTTTCCGAGATGTATTCACATAGAAGAAACTTTGTATATCACAGTTTTTTAAAGATAGGCCTGCATGCAAGACTCCAACAAACATAATTTTTGCCCTTTGGCGTTTGTCGGAGTCTTACAGTTACACCCAGCTATCGATGTGTACCATACCACAAAGAGAGGCATCAACCCCTTCCTGTACTTTATTTTTACTACATCTTCAGTTAAGAGAAAGACAAAGAAATGTTCCATCTTTCAAAAATGAGATTATTGTGGTTTCAAGAAGAATAAATGTCCTCATTTCATAATGTATCGCTGAAGCTTTGTTCGAGACGAAAAAAACAACATTTAAATGATGGCCTTTCTAAGAAATTACCTAGAACTAATTACCAATAAAGTAGGTCCTTTCAGCATCACACATACAAATCCTTCTTTTAGCCCAAGGCACAACTTATGTCAGTACTTTTAGTCATAATTTCTCCCAGTAGCTATCACAGGACATACACATAGTAACTTGCATCTCCAGCTCTAAATAGCAATCCTCCTCCCAGAGTGGGATAAGGAAAAGGATAATTCGGCTGATTCATGACTTGACAAAACCTGATTATGTCATGACCCCGTCACTTACATTTAGCTAAATAATGGCGACAGGGGGTTGATTTAGGGTTACAAACAGAAAGTACCGGCATGTATACTTTATTCAAATATGATCTTCTTCTTTTAACTTTGGGTCTGTTGTTGAATTATATTGAAATTTCAATAGATCTAAAAATTCTGCAGTTCAACCATTCATGATATCAATAACAACTAAAACTGCCAGAAATAATCTTTGAACGAACAGAAATACCCTGATTTTTCAGTCCAAAAATTCTTCTGCAAACATGCCAGAGTCTAAGAGGAGTTATACAAATGAAATGAGCAGCTTGAGATGATACTGAAGACAAAATTAAGAAAAAACATTTTTGCTAACCCCCTGATATGCACCTGAGAAAAACATCATGGTGGCAACACAGAGTGCAGTGAATCATTAACCAGACCAGGAGGATAAAAATAATTCGCACCACACATCAATGACACTGAACACGCACACACCTGTCTTACATTCAGATGTATGGCCAAAACCCGCGAGTGAAAAATTAAATCCTCCAAATCGAGACATGCAACTTCATTCACTCCAGAAAGCACTTAGGAGGGCAATGCTTCTACTTTAAAAGCATTTTTGTCGTCCAATTTTCAGCCAGCCTACCAACCACAAATTTCATACCTTTGCCCTGATTTAATCAATGTGCACAAAAAAACCATGAGAGTATTCAGAGTAGAAATTGAATGACCCAAGCAATTAACATAATTGGCTGGGATTTCAGATTTTTGTCCTGACTGTATACAACAAAATTATTCCATGTGCCAGTTAAGCTGGCACCCGCCAGGCCAATGTTACTGACAATGCACTAGTTGAACTGGCACACCAAAGGCGTTTATTCTTTCTCTGACCAATTTTTGAGGCAGTAAGTAGTTCCAACACTGCTCAATTAATTTACTGGTTGAAGGAATTCCCAGAACTTGGCACTGCTATCAATAGTTGTACATTGCTCACCATAGCAAGTTTCTAGAGGCCGCAAATTCTCTGTTATTCAACTCAGGTTCTATGTTTCATTTTATAAAATATAACGCCTAGCACCATGAGGAATCTGTGGCTACCTAGTGCTGACAAAGAAAAAGATCAATGTAGCCTACACGTCAACTCGTGGTAAAATAAGAAGTTGACCTGGTCCAAACCATTAGGCAAACTATTCAATCGTGACCCTTAAAATAAACAAGGAGCCAATTAAAAATTGGAATAACGACATACAGTTGGTAATTTTATCTCTCTGAATGGCTAGCTTTGTTAGGTTCATCATGTTCTTCTCTCAAGAGAGGATGAGAAGGCTTTTTCGGTCTTATTAACACATTACACCCTAACTCGCCCGGGATCGCCCGGGAATTCCCTTACGCGCTCCACCCTGACTCGCCCGGAACCGCCCGCGCCGACCCAGCGTCTTTAGAAACGAAAGTCTCGCCTTGACGAGACTCTGGGGCCGGGATTTTGATTTGCATAGTATAGCAAAAAGTTTCTTCTTTCGTTTGATACCGAAACGAAATTTTTCGGGCCAGTAGTTTTAGTATTAGAGCTGATCGAAGTGCGATCGCGTTACCGACACTTCGAAAGTGTCTCGACTTGTTGAAAAGCGACACAATTGAGTTCGAAAACGGAAATAACGATGGATTTGAGCAAAAATGAGCATGTGACAAATCAGATGGCTCAGATTTTGATGAAAACGTTGTAGGAAGAGTTTGGGGCGATTCCGATTGATCAGACGGAGAAAATCTAGAATTTAGACCTAGGGCCCGACCGCGAGGCTGAGAGTGAGTGACTGGTCGGACACCCCGATTGAACTAAAGTGAGAACATTTCCAACAGTTTGCGCATACATAAAGTTATATTTTTCTGAAACTACATTCAGTTTTCTTTTTAACTTTTATTTTTTCAGGATTTTTGGAATTTGTTTAGTATTTTTAAAATGTGTTTTTTAAAGGCTTGTATTCAAGGGAGGTGGGTTCTTTCCCCTTGCTTAGGATCTAACAGTGGACTTCCCGTCCAGGCCCTTAGGGTGTAATGTGTTAACAAAGATGCTGTCAGCAAGCACATTTCTGAGGAGCATTGAAAACTGAATAGCTTGCATAATGGAAAGAACCAGGTAGCAATCTTAGGAGCTGGCAGGATAAGACGTGGCTTTGGAGTTGAAGCCCTACATCACTCATTCTGTTATCACATTGCAAGGCCTTTCTCTCTTCATTTACAGTAGCCTGCACAAAATGCTCTCACAGATTCTTAAGACAAATCGGACCTTGGATTGAGGGCAATCTTTGTATAGTTCTAAATTCAACAGGTAGACAACACTGTCATCCTGATACCCTTTCTAAATACACACCAGACAAAAACATAATTATTCATATATACCACCGATCACATGCATGAATGACTAACCTTTTTGTCATGCCATAACAACAAGTGAGTTGAAAAGCTGCTATTATTATTATACCCCAAATGTTCCAATGTTAAAGCAGAAAAGTCAAAGGAAACAACCTTAAGCCATGAAAACAACAAAAATAATGAAAAAAACCATTAGTACTCCAAAGATCTTAATCATCAGCCATCGATTTGATGAGACGGACTGGAAATACTTGAGAATCTCTGTATGGGCCGCTTCAATATTCTGACTTGCATCCTCAACATTATTATCAATTCTGAGGATGGAAGAAAGCAGAGTTAATTTTTTACACACATATATATATATGTATTTAACTGAATGCATCCCACACCAAAGTTGATATCCTTTTTTTAAAAAACAAATAGACAAAAGCACATTTTCGAACAAATCAAAAGGAAAAAGAAAGAAAATAAACCTGGAATTGTTCCTCTCGTAATACCAACTTAAATTACCTCACACTATTAGCTTTAACACCCCTCACCCCTCCCCAAAAGAATCAATGTCTTGAGGGATGAAAATTTTGTCCTGCCAATAAACTGGAAAAAGCAACTGCTGTCTCCACTACAGTGCTAGCCAGCAGTGTTTAAATGATAATCATAGTAGGTACTCCAAACCTGCTGCTGGCCCATGAACCCAGGGAAAGATGCTGTTTATCACACAACTTTATCAACAAGTTACAAAGTTTCAATTCAAGGGCATGGAAAAACAAAATACACCCCTGGAACAAGTATCTTTTTGTTGCTTTTTTTTCATACAAGTATTGTGTATAAAAGATATTATCTTGTGTTTGCTTTGAGTGAAGGAAAAACTTAAACGTGTATCTGCTATTTTACTGCTCCTGCGACCAACGAATTGAGGGAGTGACATCTTTTCATTGTTCAGCACGCCATGTTTAATCTCAGTGTCGAGCACAAATCATCTTCAGCCGTTGTGATTGAGTTTTAAATATCAGGTGCATCGTCTACCATTCAAATTGGCCCTAGGAGTGACAGGTAGGTTAAAAAGAACTGTGTGACAAAACATCAATTTCATTTACCTCAGACTTTTCAGTCTTTTTTTCCTTTTTTTTTTTAAATGAAGAACACAAAATTCTTATAAATTACAGACACTTACTTGAAAATCACTTCCTTATTCCATGTAGACATTGTTTAGGAAAAAAAAACCTCTTCCAAATGAAAATGAAGACTTGGGATCCAGAAAGTAATACAAGTAAGCAAACACAAAAATACAGCATAATGAAAACAAGCAATACGGGTAGTAGATCTACAGGGGAGGGGTATGACGCAAGTGAGTGAATAGTTTAAGAAGTGGAACAATAGAAATATTTCAAAAGCTGGAAGAAAAAAAAACAACTTTATCACATAGCACAGTGAACAACCCTTACCTGCCAACAATTTCTTCTTGCTCCTTAACCATATGAGCCAACTGTTGAAATATTGAGCCCAGCTCAACGATAGTCGTCTCAATGTTTTTCATAGTCTCTGCTCGACTCTCAATATACTGGTCCTGATGATGGAAAAAAATATACAATGGATAAACATTGCTTTTCTGAACAACAAAATATTCTTAAAAACAAGTCGATTATTCCCCCCTCCCCCCCCCCCCTAAGGCTATGTGACATAGAACAAAATTCTTGCTTCAGAAAAAGACAAAGAAGTTGGGTTTTTTTTTAAAGAATGCTACTATTACTATAAAATGGTCAAACAAAGTTTATTCTCAAGTTTTCTAAAAAAAAAATCAAAGCATATCAGTCAGTATGAAAAGCTTTTTAGTATTACTAAAAAAAATTATAACCCAGTGATCAATAAAACGTTCAAAAACCCTTGTCTTTAAAATTCCAACTTTTTATCACTGTTTCCCTGAAAATTGTTTTTCAGAGTACAAGGTTCCATACAACTGAACTATGTAAGCACAATTTTTAAGCAAGTCACCTTCCTTTTCACTGACTGTAAGTTTAGATTCATTCTCCCCACTTTTTCCTAACTCAGATAAATATTAAACACTTCAAGCTACTTTCATAAGCCGTGTCTGCAGTCTGTCAAAGCAGCAATCCAATTCAGGCAAACATGTTCACTTTTATTTTTAAAAAACCAAAAAGGCCTAAAAAGTAAACAAATTTTTAAAAATTTGAAAATATAGTAATCCACTTCTCAAGAGAACACTGCACACTACATTGAGAAAGAATCTTTTCACAGAGCGCAGATTGAGGAAAGTGTTCCCAAACAAAATAAAAAATGTTCAAATGATCACCATGCACACTACAACTCACTTGCTCATCAATGATCTGCATCTGGTTCTGTAGCTGACTACCCCTGGCTGCCCCCTCCATGTCAATGGCTACATCTCCATTGCTCGTGTGACTGGCATCATCTTGGAGCAGCACAGAGCCATCTATCCCACAGACACAAAAGAAATATCATGGTTGTTGAATAGACACAAAGTTAAACAAAACTATTTTAGCAAATGAGAAATACTGAAACAGCAAGACACAAATTCTCCAAACCAACTCCTCAACCCCATGCCAAATTGCAGCACCTTGCTTTTATTAGGTACCAGAAACTAAATTTTCAAAGTAGCTGTATGCCAAATGTATCTGTTCCATTTGAAAGGCCTATAGCCACTGAGCAGTTTGGTACCATTCTTTAACCTCTCCGTCAATTTTTAAGAAGATGATAGTTGTTTAAAATTTGATCAAATTTGTTAAAGTCAGTCACTGGCTGCAACCCCATGTTTGACAGACAATAAAAGAGTACCAAGAGCACTAAACATCTCCACATTAACAGAGTACAATCACTATAACAAATATATGGAGCCTAGTTTTTTTTCCAGACTGTAAGATCATTACAAATCAGTATTTTATCGCCTCAAACACGATGATCTGTCGTTATTTCGACAAAAAGACCGAGCGTTGACCCGGCCGGCCCCGCATCGGCCCCCGCGGTGAGCGAGTCGGCTCTATACTGTAGTGTACCCCGCGTGCGGGGTCACATGCTTTCCGAGTCTCGCGGAAGGATTGATGTAAAATAATTCCAAGTTGATTACTTTATTCTAATAGGAAATGAACTGATCTTTTAATCACTATATTTTTTTAAGCCAGTATTTTACATACTTTGTGTAAAAAGTGATCTTTAAACATTTTGACAGTATTTTGAAAAGCTTTCTATTTAGACGCCAAAGGCAAAATATATACCACGGGAGAGCCCGTTTAAAGTTCTACAGTTCTCCGCCAATAAAAAGACTGTACTTAATCATCCCTCGTTCCGCGAAGCATTTGAATGCACGCGTGTCAATTTTTCAATCGGCCGACCACGCATTCTGGCTTCGCTTTCGTCGGCGATTTTCCAGCTTCTAATAATCGGACATAAAAACAACTTACACCATTGTAACGAGGAAAAGCTGAACTTTTACAAGGTGTACGACATTTGGTGTTTTATAGCGAAAGAGCAAAGAAACAGCGATCGAAATTACCCCGATTTCACCGATACCACACCGTCGGAAGGCCGCGAGTGCCCGCGAAGCCGTGTTTACGTTTCCTACTTTTATACCATTAACTACACTCTCCCCAGTTTTTAATTACAATAGAGTATTTATTACCTTCATCATTCTTTTTGTTTCAGGTAGACAGCCCACCATGTGTAAGCCTGTTGCATTGTATTACAAAAGGCAAATACGATTTAAAGACACACCAGTCTTAACAACATTAATTGCCTTGCAATCTTGTTATAACCAATAATAATTATAATTCATCAAAAATTTTAGTCATCAAAATAAAGTAAAGAAAGGGGGCTCTCGTGGCCTAGAGGTTAAGGTGTTGGCCTCTCATTCAAAGGTCCCGGGTTCGAATCCAGGTAGCGACCGAAAAATTTTCTTCTCTAAAACTGTCTCCTTTCACCTCCTTTCCTGCTCTCTAGCAATGTTCTGTTATCTGCTTTCAATTCCACTTTCTGCCCCCACCCCCTCACCTCCTTTGCCCCCTCCTCTGGGCTCCTGACTCTTTCTGCAGCCTTTCTACTGCTACTCCTTGGCTCCTCCTTACTGCTGTCTTTCTGCCACACCCCTGATCTTCTGGTAGGACAGATCTACACCTAGCCTTCTCGGAAAAGGGCGAAAAATCTCGGAGGGCCCGTGTGCAAGTTGCGCACGTTAAAGATCCCTTGGTGGTCTAAAATCAATAAGAGTAGGCTTCGGCCGCCACCCAGGCAAAATTCAAAATTTCCTACCAACTGAAAATATTAGGTGTGTCCCGCGCGCTCATATGACCTATGCAGTTGCGAGCGCCGTAAAACACTTTACAAAAACAAAAACAAAAGTAAAGAAAAACGACTCAACTCACTCATATGTCCTTGGTATGCAGATGGTGGTAGTGATGATGTAACACCCGCATGAGAGAACTGCTCTCTCCTCGACTTTTGATGTTTCAAATTCTGGAAAGTATATGTCATATTGAAACCATTTTCAAAACATTGGATCAATTCACATGGTCTTACAACTATACCTCTACAATAAGCCAGGTTGTCAGATGTATGAGGGTCCCACATCGTGACGCAGCCACTACCTAAGTGAAAATACACGAGACACATGGCCACCAACTTCTCAAAACCGAAAAACAGATTCTACCCAGGCAGCAGGACAAGATGGTGAACATTGACCAAGCAAACTCCCTCCAAACCCTTCACACACACTTATCTGCATTCAAAGAATATAAGCTACTGAAAGTAGATTGGCAGCAAAAGATCTCTCCACGTGACTTGTGGGCTTTGTTCGCATTATCATTGGCAAATTCAGTCTGGAAAGTTCGGAGTACATATTTTTCAATATGAAAACACACATCTGTATTCAGACCCACAAAAACAGCCAAAAGGCAGTCATTTGTACAATACAAGGCACTCTGAGGAGTAGTATGAACTACTAAAAAAGTACAGTACTCTAATCAAGTGTTACCTCTGTCCTCACTTCCAGCACTTGTCTAAAGTCGTTTGACATGGTAGCCAGTTTTGACTGAGGAAAAAAAACAGAATTATATAGTAGAGGGCAAGCAATGAAAATGTCATTTTCAGAAAAGTTTCTAAATTTCTGATTTGTACCACTCATTGACCAGTGAAAATAAGGGAAAATAAAATTAAACGTCAACGTAGGCAATCTTCATTGTTTTAACAGAAAACAGTCATGATTTTAATCAGAGATGCCAACTACAGAAAACCGAAATGAGTATTGGGAAATATGAAAATGTGTATTTTCAGGGGAAAATGTGTATTCCCTTCGAACCGACCGACCAACTAGTAAAATGTTCAGGGTGTCCAGCAATATTTCCTGAAAAAAATTTCTAGCTAACCAGCTCGAAAAAAGGAGCACACACGCGTACAATATACACGTATCCAGTCAACAACATGTCAGTGTTCAGTGTCGTACTGGGTTCTTGTTTGACTTAAATTTTTCAGTCTAAACCTATTATATTTTCCTCTCATTATCATATAAAAAATTAATCCTGCTTTGAGCTTTCGGAAGGGCCTAGAACAAGAATTTCGACTATCAAGAACCAGTCTTGTTGTCATGATTCATATTATGATCTGACAGATTCAAATTATTGCTCAAACTCAGAGAAGAGCAATAACTTGAATGGCTCAGTAGACCCATGCACTGTGAGGGAGGGCAAGACGCAGTGAAACTGAAAATCTGCCAGCCTTGAACAGAAAGCTATAACATACACTGTTGGTATCATTTACTATCACCCATCCAATGAAACGCGAATACTCTATTTCAATAACACAGACTTGCAAAGTATGAAGGGTTCCGATTGCGCACACGGCCTGCACCAACGCACCCTTTGCAGAAAGCTCTAATCAAAATTCTGAAATTTGCTTCTAACTTCCAAGTTTTTGTCCTCTGCTCTGGTGTTGCCTTCTCACACACACTCCCTCTCTTCAAAGTTATTTTTCTCTTTCTCTCCCTCCTAGCCCCCCCCCCCCCCCCTCCCCGCCCAAATTCTGACTTAACGACTTCTGTTTAATTAGAACTGTATCTGTTGCGTGATGTCCTTTTCTTGCTTAATTAAGGACACACAGTTAGCTCAGTTGGTATCCAATGAACTGTGGAACAGATTGCCGTGGTTCGAATCCCGTGCTGGGCGTTCTTGAACGGAATTGTTTTGTGGAGTTTTTAAAAACTCATTTGACTCGGTCCCATCTTTCCCTTGGCGTTTCTGTCTGTCTGACTGTCTGTCTATCTGGTTGGCTGGCTGGCTGGATGGATGAATGGATGGATGGATGGGTGGGTGGGTGGATGGATGGATGGATGGATGGATAGATGGATGGATAGATGGATGG